AACTGAAAAATAAGAAAAATCCTAGAAAATATAAGATATATCAGATTACTTGAGATTCATTTGGTGTAAATGAGGCTGTGCACAACTGTTAGATACCCATTACAGTACATTTTACAGTTCCTACAAAAACTTACAAAGACATTACACACACCATTCTTCAAACCGTATGGGTTTCTAACTAGGAAAACAGACACAAGGGTGACATACAGACGCCCCTGTCACATTTCTGACTTCTTCCACCTCCTGCTTCCTCTTCATTCCCTTTGCTTAAGGAGCATGACAGCAATTAAATTAGAAGCCTCTCAGGGGGTCTTCCCAGGAGACTGGACAGGAAACGAATGCTAAACACAAAGTGCAAAAGGCCTTTCAATGCAACACCTATATCAAGTAGTAAAATATTTGTTTTTCTGACATTATCTGAGGAAATACACAACTTCTTGTAGACTGGACAATTACTTAACCCAATTTTCATGACACTGTTAATCCTATAGATTAAATCATAAAAAAGAGAAGAAAAAAGGTAATAATCGATGATGTTTAAGTTTAAAGGTTTGCAGGTGCTGGTGGTTCTCTACTGCATCTGTACATTAAGTTCTTCAAGATCAGAAACTGCCAGTGAGGCTTAACTGGCCATCACCAGGCACTTCTGCCTCCAACCCTCACTGCTGCCCCCAACTCTCCTCAAACCTGGTGATGTTTGACACATTCTGTGTACATTCCAGACATTTTTTCAACAGCCGTGTATGTCATAAACGTGTTCCCAGAAAAGTGAGTTCTGTCCCAAGACTCTCCGTAACAAAAACCACAGAATTGACCTCCAGGGCTAAACTGTAAAGACTCACTCGGGAATCATTCATTTCCTTTAGCAGCCACTGACTGTAGTAAAACTCAAATTCAAACTTTTAGCTTTCAGCTTCTGAAAATCCAAACAGCTGTTGGAGAACTACATAATAAAGGAGATATCATTTAACTGTTCAGCTGAATCACATTGCTGCTGCTATTCCTCTACAAGAGAGCCACCATAGTGGATAAACACACATTCATCATGGTGTTGTGCCAATGTTTGCAGACTGACAAAGGCATCTCGGTGTCATGCTAAAAATACATCAAAAAGCCAGCCGCAGGTTTTTTAATGCACCCAACAAAGCCCTGATGATCTCAAACCCTTCTTGACCCCTTGGTCCGGTCTCTGGGAGCATTGCACTTGCTCCGTAAACAGATGGCAGAACACTTTTAGCTGAAATCTGCACAGACTCATTAAAGCCAGGTCTAATCTCTGCTAACGGCACTAAAGGACAGTCTAAACTGAGAATGTATTCTGTAGCCCTGAAAGTCACCCTGCTTTATTTTAATGTTATGCACCAATGTGTTGAACACATATAGTCTATATACTTGAGTGACACTGATGAACCAGCGGTGATAAATGATAGCCTGCAGCTAGTCAACTAGAGAGAAAGAGAACATCTCTGACCCTGGCTGAACCCCAGCTCAGTTTGAATGCTATGTCAAAACTACCTGACTAGATACAAAACAGTGCATAAAACTGTGCAACATTACAAATAATGATGTTATGGTTGTTTTACCGTCACAATGTGTATGCATATTCTATTCATGTCTGTCTGTCTGTCTGTCTGTCTGTCTGTCTGTCTATCTGTCTATCTATCTGGGGATCGATTGATCAGTGCAATGCAAAGATGGTGAAACATATTCATATTTTTCATTTATTTACTGTAATGCACATAAACAATAAATAAATAAATAAAATAAAAAGTCAAGATAAAGTCATATGTCAACCCCCAGTCAACAAAATAGATTTTATTTTCTTTGAGTGTTTTCTTTTGCCATATGATTTTTTCTTTAAAATTTCCCCCACAAATTCTCATTACGGTAAGGAAAAAAAAAAAATATATATATATGATAAACATAAACAAATATATAAATGTGATAATTAAAAAATCTTAATGGTCTTACAATTAATTTTATTGAAGCAAAAATAAAACAACTTTGATTTTTGGAGAAATAAAATATGATCTGTACGTGTTTTCATAAAACTCACCTCCGCCACCTGCTCCGAGCTCACAGTGTCATTTCCGTGCTGCAGCGGGCTGCTCCGCAAAACCGTGATGTGTAACGTCAGAAGAAGGAGTCCCAACAGCAACAGCAGCTCCGCCGCCAGCCGCACCATCCTCTTCACTCGAGCACTCTTAGGACCCTGCGCCGCCGCCGCCGCTGCTGCTGCCGGGCTTCCGCTGTCGCCTCCTGCCGCTGCAGACACTCCGATCTCCGGATCCGCCGCGGACGAGGAGCCGCCACACCACTGCGGAGCCACCTCGGGGTCCAGAAGAGCAATACTCACGGGAAAAAGAGTAACTGGCTAGAAATTATCTCAAAGAAGCCCAATCACTCCACGCTTGAAAACTGATCAGATCAATGAGGGATCTATAGCTCCTGATCTTAAAAATGGTATAATCCCGATGTCCAAAAAGAACTTGAATTACCTTTAAAAAGCAAAAAAGTAAGTCCCACAAACTCCAAAGTTATGTACCATTCCATTGAGCATCAGTATAAAATGCAAAAGTAGATTCTATTTTGAGATAAAAAGTTTTACTTCTTCACTGGAGTTTTACTTGTGCGCAGGTAAATCAGGTACATTGGCACAAGAACACAATTCAGAGAACCTGCAGCATTCTTCTTGTTTTAAAATAAAAAATAAAACAAAACAACAAAGTCTCGAGTTCAAACCACTTCAAATCCTCGTGGTCTATCCTTCACGTCTAATATAAAACTGGGTACATTGTTGCGCTCCGGTGCATTGCGCAAAGTGCTGTCATCCTCTCCAAATGCCACTGTGTCTTCAAGGATTAAGTGTAGTTCACTATAAGCCCATCTTCAGAGTGATGAAGATCCAAAGTTCCTCCTCTGACTAACTCATCTGAGCTCTGTCCTCAGGAGGGTGTATGAGCCGCTCTTGCGCAAGAGTGTCCACACACACCTTCTGCGTAAAAGCGCGCTGTCAAATAACACACGACACCACAGTTCAAGACTAGTGTGTGTCCGCGTGTGTTCCCTTCTGTCGTTGTGTGTCTTTAGTCCAGCACAAACACAGCCAGACTCTTTCACAATACATATTATTCTTCTAGGTCAGTCTAGTCATTGTTTTGAGCCTCTACAGATATTACAGTGACCTATAGCTGTCAGAATAGATAGTGATGGTGAATGTGTAGCTAATATGTATTGGTTTTCATGTCTGATAAACACAAAATTTGAAGAAAAAAAAAACACATACATATATATATACATACACAAAGACAAAAGTATTCAAAATGTTGGGGTCAGTCGGGTTATTTTCTTTCTTATTTTGTTGAAGAAATGAATACTTTTATTCAGCAAAGATGCATTCAATTGATCAAAAGTGGCAGTAAAGGCGTCCACAAAAATATTAAGCAGCAGCACAATTGTTTTCAACAGTAATAATAGTAAGAAATGTGCATCAAATCAGATCAAATGATTTCTCATGGTTCATGTGACACCGAAGACTGGCGTAATGACTGTTTTTTCAGCTTTGCCATCAAAATAAATTACATTTTAAAATGTAATAAAATAGAAACAAGTTTTTTAAATTGCAATAATATTTTAATATCTTTAATTATATTTCACAAGTTTTAATTGGTATGGTGTATATACATAAAATTACAGATGGAAAGAATTTTGGTTATAAAAAAACCATCCTTAAAGGTTTAAAATTGCCCCTTAATAAAAAGTTAATTTCTGACAGGCAGAAGAGCTCGTCCACTATGAATGTGTATTGGACGTCTTTTTTAGTAACACAACCTTGGTTGATAAATGTTGTTTTCCATCTGTTTGCAAATGTTTTCCAGTGCAACAACAATTACTCTCACTGTGTCCCTGAAATATCTAGAACAAAAAAATGCATTGTCTGATGAGTCTAGTCCCCAAGACATCTCCCCAGTTTCTCACCTCAGTCTTGAGAAATCTTCATCACTATGGTGTTGGTATTCTTGAAATAACAAACATAGTTTCAAACACGAGTGAAACAAGTGCAGACTAGACCCCATCTGTCTGTAGCATTTACTATCTGTCTTGATTCCTCCCAGCATTAATCAAGTGGTTACCCCACACCTGCAGAATGTGCATCTCTCTACTAATTGCTAGTTTAAGGTGAATATTGGCTCGTGTGCAACATATTTGGCATGTTGAGCTCCAGCGCTCAGAGAGCGATTTTGCGTCTCTTTCAAATGTAACAATTAAGTTTTGTCTCATTCAAAGCAGAGAATTTGGTAAAACATGTGCAGACACTACTTTTTGTCAGCACAAATAATTTTGCAGCAAATGAAAGTCAAAGAGGTAATTACTATATGCTTTGGTGTTTACTGTGGTAAATACAGTTACTATAGAGACCATGTGAATGTGGAGGTGGCATGTCATAATTAAGGATGGAAATTGTAAGTTCTGTGCCTGATTCCTCTTAATGATTCTGATTCTTCTATCGTTTAATTAACAAAGTACTTTTGAACTTTGGAAGAGCATAACATAACAAGGGACAGTAAGCTGTATGTGTTTGATTCACTAAAAAGAACCGGCTCAAAAGAGTCATTTGTTTGGGAATCGGTTGGACTGCATTGGTTGTACTGTAGGGTACTGATTCACTAAAAAGAACCGACTCAAGTTAATTTGAGAATCAGAGAACACCAAACCGAACTGATGTTTTTTGAAAAGTGTAACTGTTTTTGAATGAGAAGTTTTCTTGGTTCCCAGTCCTAGGTATGGTCAAACTAGGTGTTTTGATTTCTAAAGAAAATATGAGTGAAATAAAATCTAAAATCCAGCAAATTAACAGAAGTTCTGCATCTGAAATATGCAAACAAATGACACGAAAACCCTTTCAAACTTTCCAAGCAAACATTTGATTTTCAAGTACAATCGGTCTATAAATATTTTTTTATTATTATTATTTTATAATCAGAAGTAGTTTTCTGCACATGAAATATAAATAAATGCATGTCAGTGAAAATTTTTTTAAGGACTTGGAGCTGAGAGCTGCAATGCGTGAATGTTTAATGACTGTGAATGAGTTGCACTGGGTCTGAAACGCCCAGCCTTGTTCAATCTCTTTCAATCAATGTAGTTGTGGATCACACAAACACATAATCCAGCACAGAATGGAGCTCTTTCATCAGTCCATCTTAGAAGCAGGATAAAAAAATAGGGCCACTTCAAGGGATTTCTTATCCGCAGCTAGTTTTGATGTAGGTCAGTGTTAAGGGAGTTAATTGTTTGATATATTTAGAGCAGCTTTTGATATACGTTCTATAAACACGGCCCCTCCCTTTTTCCCACAATCCCCTGAGGACAAAATCGTTTAACAAACTTCTCAAAACTGTGAAACAGCAGTTAAAAAACCCAATTAAATATAATTTTACAAAATATACATGTAAAAGTCAATGCCTCATAGTAAAACACACCTGAAAAAGCAATAACAAACTGCAAAAATTCGTCTTTTTTTTTTTTGGAAAAGCAGAACTGTCCTGTGTGGAAATGCAGGACACTCTTTCTTCTAAAAACGACCAAGGCATTCACACCTTGGCAGTCTCTGGACAAGCCTTCACACTCACAGCGATGACGATGAGTGATTAGCTGTCCAGCTCAAAGTCTGTTTCATCATACAGCTCTGGCCGATAGGAAGATCTGTGACGGGAGAACTTCACCTTGATGTAGTCTCCAAGTTCATCAAGGCTCTGGAGAACCTGGAAGAACATGGAGTGAAATGTGAAGCTAAGAAAATCAGAGCTTGCTATATATAATTTTTTTGTTGGGAATATGTCTGAGATGAGTTGCGTCACTTCTGCTGCACTTTCCAGTGGCATTTTTTGAGGCATTACATCTGCTTTGGATTGTAAAAAGCACTAAATCAATTGATCTAAAATGAAATTGAATAGGTGTTCAATCAGTGTCATTCATCGCAACCCATGTAGTCCAACTGATTCTCAAACGAATTACTCTTTTGAGCCAATTCTTTACTCAATCAAAGATGTACAGCTTACCAAATACCATACCAAAATCATATTGGTCAATTTGGGATATTTAATTGTGCATGCTTCCTCTATATTAACATTTAAAGTACCTAATCTCATCATAATCTATTGCTCAATCTAAGTTGATCGTTAAAAACACTAATAATTGCATAATTGTTAAATGTAATCTTTAGCCAATCTCAAAGTGAAATCCCCATTTCATTTTAATTTGGCAATGCCTACATTCACAATTTTTTGTAGTGTTTTATTTTTCCATTATTTAGACAAAAGAGTATAGAATTTTAATACTGGCCATATATCATAACATAATTCTGTCAATCTGTATCACAGAATTTGTATATCAGTGCATCCCTATTAGGAAATCTTTGGAAATAAACTAGATTTTCAGCTTTTATGTTTTCAATTTTTTCTTTGTGCCTCAACACTCATTTTTATTTCACTAGACAAAAGTCTAACACTAACAGTGTGTGAAAAGAACAACAAACAATACAGATAGAGATAGATAGGTCTATGAGATGCTGGGTGTTGTTGTAGTTTATTACCTTATCGAGCATTTCTCTGGTGTGGGCGGCAGACACACAGAAGCGAGCCCTGGCCTCTGTAATAGGTGTAGCCGGGAAACCTACAACTACAACGCCGATCTTCCTCTTCAACATGGCCCGTGAGAACGCCCTGTGAGCAGATGATTAACAACTTTTTGGCTTATCATCACTACGGATTTTAGTGAAGTTCACACACACACACACACACACACACACACACACGCAAATGTACTACTGCCAAGCAATCAAATGTTCTAGAACAACTTGCATCTTCATGGTTTTTTGTTTTGTTTTGGTAGGGCTGTTTAGTATTGATGTCATGATTGATGGTATAAAACAGGCAGAGGTTTTCAAGCTAATCCTGAAAGCAGTACATGCCTTATCCAAAAGTGTTTTCTACATTCAAGCTTCCAGACATTATTAGTGCTCTTAGTATATGACAATCTTCATTACAAACTTTTAGCATATCTAGAATTTAAAGTAGAAACATTATGCAGGGTAAAGCTGTCGAGAATCCCATTCAGCGTTTGCACTGTCTGCTACCTTTCCTCATCCTTTGAGTGAAGGGAAATCCATTGTAAACCGCACAGCTGGACTGTCATTTGCATTAGCCAAGAGGGAGAAAAAGAAATGGATTGACAGGGAGAGAAAGGCAAAGGGAAAGGTATAATGGAGGAGGAAAAGATTGAGAGCGAGAGGAGGAGAGTAGGCCTCCACTTTGTCAGCAGAGACGACGTAGAGTGAAAGCTGGATTTAAAAGGCCTCACAGCTGCCGTCGTCTTTGTTGGTGTGCCAGGAAGCTGTTATCTTTGGAGGAGTCTGAAACGCCTGTGCAGTGATGAGCCTCTCGCATGTCATGTTTTCTTTCTGCCTCTCTTGTTTTTTTCCCTCACCACTGATTCATGGATCAACCAGACCATCCTTAGATGGCTACAGTCCAACGTCTTCTTGAAAAGACCACATCGCCTTCTTTGGAATGACCAGTGGAGATGACTGCAGCTTTTGTTGGGGTGTCCTCAAGCAGTCAGTACATTTTCCACATGTCATTCAAAGCTATCACCTTTGTAACCCGATGTAAGCCTGGCATTGTTGTTTTATTGGCAGCCCGAAATGTGGGCAGGTTCACAAGTTCAAAGAAGGATTACTATAGTGTCCAGACAGTGGAAACTGTCCTTAATCACAAAGAAGACACGAAAAAAGCTCACAAAGAAACATAATGTTTTGCTTCTCGCTGGCCCAGCGATCTAAGCTGAGGGCTTTCAAATAGACTAAATAGGGTTTGTGTAAATGCGAACTTGGAGATTCTGTAGTGTAAACTGACGCTCTTTTATACGTTGTGCGAATTGGACGCGGCCAGAATTGGTAATCCGAACGGGCCACTGGCTTTAGGAGCTGCTTACCCAACTTTCCCAGGTAGATAGAGCAGGAGCGGTACCACTGGAGAGTCCTGGTTGCCGTAAATGATGAAGCCCATCTTCTTCAGCCGTGATCTTAAGTAGCGTGTGTTCTCAGCCAGCTGCCGAACTCTTCGCTGGCCTGCGGGGGAGATGCAGACAGAGGCATCATCGAAGAGAATTTGTTAGCTTTCATTGGAAAAGTAGAGACATAAATGGGAGTCTACAATAAAGTAAAGGTCATGATTTACAACAGAGCAACCACAGGTCAAAAGGAAAAGTGCAAATAATCTCAAAGGGCTCCTCCACTGGGACTGTATCTGAAGGATTTGATTGTCCTCCAGATGAGAGGGATGCAGACTATGAAAGTCTCAGTTACAGTAGATGTCCTGCCATTATTTATAGGCCGTTTACTAAGATGACAGTGAAACTTTATAGGCATATTTTTGCACTCATAAAAAAAAGAAATTAAAAAAAGGAAAATTGGAAAAACTGCAGTTGTCAGAAAAGTACAAAGGACCACAATAGTCAGTAAATTTTTTTTAACTAAAATCAAGTGAATGACAAAACATTGCCTGGAGTGCACTTAAGTGGTGAGCAGGTGCACATGCGTGACCAAAATAAAAAATGTGCTGGGTAAATAAGTTCAGACCGTTCATTTGCACACCGACACGGTTGACAGCTATTAATTTACAATCACCATTTTAGAACGACTAACTGTAATACTGTATAAGATTTTCACTCGAACTGAACGCATAAAAGCTTGCGGATTTTACACGTGAAAATATTAAAATTCAGAAAAAAGAAGAAAGAAAATGTGAATATTAGCATTGTATTTTTTAAGTGTACTATAAAATAACTATTTTTATTTAATACTATTTTTTTGTTTTAAAATATAATAGTATTATCAAACTTATTTATTATTTTATTTAAAAACCAAATAAAGTGCAATAATACTATTATTACTGTTATCTTTTTTATAGTTATATTTAATGGGTCACACTATGTGCAGTGTGGGAACCAAAGCAAATCTCCAGGTGCTCTCATGAGAACCAGACTGAAAAAATTATGTGCACCCCTTTGCCATAGTCAATAACTGAAGTGTACAACAGTGAGTGAGTTTTAGTCACTTCTAATTGTAATGCTATTGTTAACATTTCAGTTTTGACTTCGAAATGACAAAATCTCCACTAAAGACCTAGTGACAATTGCATAACCACTATGTTAAGACTGTGTCTTAGGAACTAGTCTGACTAGCAGTTAACCAAGGTATGATCAGTCTTGCTTCAAATTAGAACAATTTACCTTTTTATGTCACTGAAATGTATGACCAGTCCTAATCCAAAAAATTATATGACTAAAGTAAGACTAGTTTAAGCAGTAGCACATTTACCAAATCATATGTTAAATTTATTTGTGCATAACCTAATTAATATTCATAAACTTTACCATTTTGTGACATTACAAGCAGCACATCTGCGCACCTGCCTCCCAATTGTCCCCACAACCTGAAGGCTGTGACTGTGATGATTTGATCATTTATTTATGACATTTTGTATAAACCTAAACTGTTTGAATCTGATGGTAATTAGAAAATACACTGTTAATTTTACAGTAATTTGTAGCACTCAGAGAGTCTGCACCCACTCTGCGGTAGCATGAACGCCAAACAGACCATGTCAGGCAAACCATAGAACAAATACGTCTACAAACTAGTCCTAAAAAGAGCTGGCACAGAGATTAGCCCACTTCTTTCCAATTTTTGACTACACTGTTTGCCTGAGAGTTGCATAGTTGTTTTACTTAAATATAGTTGAAAACACTGGGAAAATGGCCAAGGAATTGCAACATAATGTTGTGGCATACAGCCATACCACCAGCAGTTATTGCTCTTACAAAACAGTCCTAGCAATACCTTAACTTTCCTTTTCCTAGACAAACTAGAATGTATACATTTCACCATTTTATTCTGCAGGTATAATCAAGAAGAATTTATAAACAACTATTAGTTCCCTTTAGGATATAGGCTGATTGTATGTGAAAGACTAGGAAAGGGGCCCAAAAGAGGAGACGGGAAATGACATCATCTGCTCTGCCGTTCAAATCCCAGGATCGGTCTTTTAATAGACCCTCATTAAGACCATTAAGTAGTTAAGTGAGACAGAGCAGACCCATTCATAAAATAATCCAAAAACATAGTAACAAACAAAAACAGGAAGAAAACAGAAAACGATAAAGTATTACGGATGTTCTATGTTTTCATTACATTTTGAGGCTCATTTCTGTACTCTCTTCAAAACGCCTCATAATGTGTGTGTGGAGTCAGTCAATGTGAAAAACAGTACCAGCTGGTTTTGTTTTGTCAGGCTGAATGGTAGACAAATTTCATCCTTTGCCAAGACACTCTTGGCTTGTACATAGGATACAATGGATTTGGCACACAATTGGAGACTGGGGTAAACTGAGAAGCATGGAATGTGGTTAGCGGTAGCTTAGCGGTTACCGCTCTGGACTAGTAATCTGACCGTTGGCGGTTCGAACCACAAAGAGATAATTCTATAAACTTCATGTGATTGGAAACAATCAGTAGCTCAATGAACATTAGTATCTTTCACTCTCTGTCTTTTTCAGTTTATGTCATTCCCTCCTCCATATTTAATTGGGTGAATCATGCAGTTCTGGGGGCTGGCCAGGTCTGCCTCCAGCACTCTTTGGCACCATGGCCTGAGTTTTTGGAAAACAACAGCATGTTTGCATATAATTACCTGTGAACCGATTTGCAGGTATTTCAAAAGGAGGTGGGCTGTAAAGCTAAGCTCAGAAGGCCTTATATATGCAGAACGAATACAACCGCTGTTAACTTTCATTATATTAGAAACTCTTCAACAGAAACACTGAACACTGGCAAATGCTAGAAACAGCAGGTTAAGCTCAGACTAAACAATTAGTCATGGACGTGGTACAAGTTTAGATATGTCAGGTCTTCTGCAGCCTATTGTGTTGTATTCAGAGTGAGATCCAGCATTGTAAAGCGAACTCTCAGATCAGTGACTCACCCTCCACAGAGCTGCACATCATGCCAGTAATGACACACATGGGCGGCTTGTCCAAGTCTGATATAGACATCATAGTGTTCAACAACTCAAAACAGCCTAGAGAGATTCTCTTCGGAAGTTTGGGCTAGAATCACTTGTCCAACTGAAGCAGAGGAGTTTAGCTAGTTAATTAACCCTGCACTATATTCATGTCTCAATTTGTATTAAAAGGTTTGATTTTGATGATTCCACATCTGATTTTGATCTTCCACGAACTCTTTATTTTGTATTCAATTATTTTTATGCATATACTTTAATGCTTATTTAATTTTTAATGCATAAAACTATTTATTGGCCAGTTTAATTGCTCTTCTGTTGACTCACACTACTGTTTAAAAGTTTGGGGTCAGTAAGATTCTTCTTTTGTTTTTTTTTTTAAAGAAATTAATACTTTTATTCAACAAAGATGCATTGCATTAAGTGATGGTAAGAATATTATACCGTTACAAAACATTTATATTTGAAATAAATGCTGTTCTTTTGAACTTTCTGTTCATCATAACATCCTGAAAAAATGTTTCAAAGTTTCCACAAAAATGATTAAGCAGTACAACTTTTCGATATTGATAATGAGAAATGTTTCTTGAGCAGCAAATCAGCATATGAGAATGCTTTCTGAAGGATCATGTGACACTGAAGACTGGAGTAATAGCTTCTGAAATGTCAGCTTTGCATAACAGGAATAAATAACATTTAAAAAAAAATATATATATAAAAAAGTTATTTGAAATTATAATCATATTTCACATTATTACTGTTTTTTTCTGCATTCTTGATCAAATAAATTTGGCTTTGTTGCACATAAGCTTTCAAGAACATTAAAAAAATCTCACAGACTCCAAATTTTTTAACAGTAGTGTGCTGAACTTAAGGCTGCCCCGCAATACAGTCTGAATCCCTTCCTATCATGGTGTGATCTGCGGTGAAATTAAAATGAAACATGATGTATTCTCTTAAAAACATAAATATATGGATTAATGCATATCAAAAACAGAAGAGAGCTTGGGAAAACCCTTTTAACATCTGGTGCCATTCTGCTGACTCCTAATACCTGGAAATATGTGACCTTTCCCTGACTAAAGGTCTTTAAGCCAGTCCTGTATTTTATTGAAATCTGTTTTCCATGAGTTATACGCTGTAGCAAAATAAATTTATATTGTTATTAAATCCATGTGATTCCCCATGTGATTGAGAAGTGTTGGGTGGAGAATTTCAGTGTCTTCTGATATTAGAATGACTGACTAGTTTGAAATCTGGGTCTCAACATCCTCTGACACATCAAGTGTAAAGTAGTGCATCTGTTGACTTCAGTCATGTGACTTTTTAAGTTTTACAGCTTCACAGCCTTTTTCATGATTTTATGTCATAGTATTGCTTCAATGTCTATACATTGCTTTTTTATACCAACCTTCTGTTGTTCCATCGACACCCATGATGCATTTAATTGCCCTGATGATCTGCTCCACGACAGGTGGGGACATGGCTGTAGCGTACACGGCACTGTGAGAGTGACTTCGCAAATAATCCACCAACTCCTGCAGAAAAACACAACATGTCCATCATTAAAGGAATACTTTCATAATTTGTTCACATTTATGTCACTGAAGTTCAGACATTCTGCCTAAGATCTCCTTTCGTGCTTCAAAGAAAGAAGAAAAATAATGGATTAAAAAAAAATAAAGAAAGAAATTATTTATATCAATTAAATAAATTACAATTAAACAAATTAAATTGAATTGAATTAATTTAATTAAAGATAAATTACATCAAATTGAAAAAAGAAATGAATACTGCTGTAACAGTGAGTAATTACTGCCAAAAATGTTAGAATGAGCTTTCCTTTTAACTATTTTATGGTCAACACTACGTGTCAATGTTTCACAAGCTGTGGTAGTATTATGGTTAAAGTTATGGTTTGTAAGTTTGATCACATCTGGCTATATAAGTGTGCACTTCGCCATAGGATCCTCAGGTTACTTCGACTGAAGCGACGACCGAGTCGTGCAGCTACATAGCATGGCCAGCAACGCAGTACTCGTTCCCGTATCTCAGGGAACCGAGGTTACATTAGTAACCGAGTACGTTCCCTATCGATACTTCACTCGTACTGCGTCTGCTAAGACACTTTGGGGAACCAGTACAATCCCGCCGTGCTATGTTAAAGGAACGACCAATGCTTGAATTTGCCTTGAGCACCAAGGGCCCAGAGGGACCAAGTAATTGCAGGGAAGCCCCACAGGAAGCGATAGGGCCAAACTCACAGAGGTCGGCCCGGCCTTAAGTAAGCGTTCCAAAAAAAATCGTACAGCCTCGGAACCCAGTGGGGGCCAAGAGGCCAAGAAGGCAAACGCCTGATTTAAGTCCATTTAAGCAGAAAGGCCCCGAGCCTGTAAAGCCGGGACATCCAGATTATAAAACCTGTTAAATGTGGACAGCAAGGCCCAGCCGGCCGCCGCACAAATTTCTG